CACAGAGGGCACAGTGACAGTGGCACAGAGGGCACAGTGACAGTGTCACAGAGGGCACAGCCCCGAGGTTTGGGTACAGCAGCTTTTTTTTTGCCTCCTGACCAGGGCACATCTGTTGGCACCCAAAGGTCAAAGCAAGCTTAGAAGTCTTAATGTATTTTGGAAAAGTACAGCAGCGCTGATTTTTTTTTCTTTGCCTTCTGATTCCTGAGCTTGAAATCACAACCAGACGCCCTTCCCATATTTCCTTCCCAGCTAAAAACACCGAGAAACACTCAGGGTTTGAATCAGAGCTGAGCCCACCTGAGCGGACAAGTGAATCATTAGGAAAAATTGATTTTTCTTCATTTAAGGAAACCTTCTGAGAGTCAGGAGAAAGATCTGAGCACTGGCAACACTGAAATTTTTGTCTTTAGCCCCGTGAAAGCTCCTGCTGGTACTGCTGGTTCTGTTTTCATGGTTTTACCCCTGCTCTGGTTTTCTTCCCGTTTTCATGGTTTTACACATGCGTTGGGTTTTGTTCCCATTTTCATGGTTTTACACCCGCTCTGGTTTTGTTCCCGTTTTCATGGTTTTACACCTGCTCTGGGTTTTATTCCTGTTTTCATGGTTTACACCTGCTCTGGTTTTGTTCCCGTTTTCTCAGTTTTACTCCTGCTCTGGTTTTATTCCCGTGTTCATGGTTTTACACCTGCTCTGGTTTTGTTCCCGTGTTCATGATTTTACACCTGGTTTTGGGTTTTGTTCCCCTTTTCATGGTTTTACACCCGCTCTGGTTTTGTTCCCGTTTTCATGGTTTTACCCCTGCTCTGGTTTTGTTCCCTTTTTTATGGTTTTACACCTGATTTGGGTTTTGTTCCCATTTTCATGGTTTTACACCTGATTTGGGTTTTGTTCCCTTTTTCATGGTTTTACACCTGCTTTGGGTTTTGTTCCCATTTTCATGGTTTTACCCCTGCTCTGATTTTGTTCCCGTGTTCATGGTTTCACACCTGGTTTTGTTCCCATGGTTTCACACCTGGTTTTGTTCCCATTTTCATGGTTTTACTCCTGCTCTGCTTTCGTTCCCGTTTTCATGGTTTTACACCTGCTTTGGGTTTTGTTCCCGTGTTCATGGTTTTACACCTGTTTTTTYCCSWTTTYYYSGKTTTWWMMCYKGKTTTKKTYCCMKTTT